AGGATGGCATTCACTAGACCCCAGAGCAGTTTCAGGGTATCCTGAGAAAGCCCTGCCCCCATGAAATGGACTGTGTCAATCCCATCATTAATATAGGCCAAAACGCCATTGATCAGAAGGCATTATATGTATATTATCTCATTTGATGGTGTGGTAGCCCATCTTCCCTTTATGCTTTTCTCTTATTCTTTGGCCCATTTAGAGCTGGATTAAATATTTCTACATATTGTATTTGTGGAGATTTCTCAGGGAGGGTGGGAGGGTGGGCTTAGAGAGGACTGTAGACTTCTACGATCACCATCTGCAGGTATATAGGGTGTTTATACCAAGTCTTTATAACCAGCATGGCCTGTGTGGATTTGTATACAATGAACTGGTTGTATTTTTTTTTTTTTTTTGCTTGAAGCTCGTTGGAAAGTTGAATTTTGAACCTTGAAATCTGAAATGTGAACACTAAGAACAGTGATATAAATAGCCATGAAGAGTCCCTGTGTTGTTAAGGGCTTTGGAGAGTTGGGGGAAAGAAGCAGGCAGAGAAGGAAAGAATAGACCAAAAGAAAGCTATTTCTCTAGCAACTTTAATACTACAACTTTAAAAGCTAAGCACAGTCCATGCCAAAGGATGAATCAGTTGGACACTGATGTGTATTTAAAGGGAAAATACACATTTTCCATACCACAAGAAATCTCCATTCAGGCGTTAGTGTGTAAATATTACTACAAATGCCCAGTATTTACCAAAAGAGCTCCTGTGAAGGGTGGTAACATAATTCACTTTCTCGATAAACAGCTTGAGTAGGGATTTTATATTTCAGAACATTAAAGTCAATGCCGTGGAAAGTGTCTTCCACTTAGTATTCATCCATTAAAAAAAGAGCATCACAAAGAAACCTCCCAATTCTCGGATGTGACTTTAGCCCACATTCGTTAGAGGGATTACTGACTCATGAAAGAAGAAAATGATGTGGTTTTTATGATCATTCATCACTCGGTGCTTTCAAGAACAAAGATGCCAGTTTTGATAAATGCAATTTAAATCTCTGTTCTGCACCAATCTGAATTCAAGGAACGCTTGCCTACCAATCATATGCTACCCTGAAGCCAGTAACTCATGTCCGAGTGTCAGCCAACAGACAGCAGTTGGAAATGACCACTGCTTTCGTCTGACCTGAGGTGGGGTAACTGTGAGGTGAAAAAGTTTTCACTGTTACTAATCTGTGGTATGATCCATTTGCCTAAGCTCGGCTTTAGGAAGCGTGGCTTCCTTCACAGTCCTCTCCAGCTCTGCCACTGCTCTGACCAGCACGGGCACCGCCACATTCAGACTTCCCCCTTCCCACCTCCCCCCGCAAATCCTGTCTGCGCACAACTTGTCACCTGCCAAACAGAGACAAGCAAGCACGCTGTGTCCTCCAGACTCCGTTTTCCCTGCTTATGCACTAGCAGTACTTCAAAGAGTCCCCACAAGGTGGCAGGATTGTAACGTGTTGAGATTGATGAGCCTGTGGGGGGGTGGTTTGTGTGGTTTTTTTTTTTTATTATTATTATTATTACTGTTGTTTTAATACATTTCAAAGATAAGTGTTTCCAAAAGATGATGCCTTCCCTCCAGCTCACATTAGCTTGGAGGAGGAATTTGTCTTGCAACCATCATTCTTTTTCAAAGCTTCCTTAGAGGGGCACCTGGGTGGCTCAGTTGGTGAAGAATCCGGCTCTTGATTTCGGCTCAGGGTGTGAACTCTGGGTGGTGAGATTGAGCCCCACATGGGGCTCCGCGCTCAGCGCAGAGTCTGCTTGACCCTCTCCCTCCCCCTGCTTGCACTTTCTCTCAAATAAATAAAATTTTTAAAAAAATTTAAAAAACAAAAAGCTTCCTTGGAATTACCTCATTAGAAGACCCTTTTTCTTACCCCTTTGATTTCTCTAGGAAGCATGTTGAAAAATAAGATCATCTTATTCCTGTGCAAACCACAGGGTACTTTCTGTTCCATCTCACAAATGCCCTTTAAGATATTAGAGGGAGACAAAAAAAAAAAAACGATGCTTGAGCAGCAGGAGGAGCAGGGGGCCTCTGAGGGGCTCTAGGGAGAGGGGGGAATCACTGGGGTCTGTGCCCTCCTCCATGCGTCCCAAGTCAGGCCTGGTTTCAGACTCACCCAGGGTAAAATAAGGCAGCGCAGACAAGATCCAATCCTACTTGCCTTTAACCAAGTGAGAGGAGAAGGCTACACTTTCACCAAAAACATTATGGGAAAATTGTCTTCCCATTTATTTTTTTTCAAAGATTTTATTTATTTATTTGACAGAGAGAGAGACAGCAAGAGAGGGAACACAAGCAGGGGGAGTGGGAGAGGGAGAAGCAGGCTTCCTGCGGAGCAGGGAGCCCGATGCGGGGCTCGATCCCAGGACCCTGGGATCATGACCTGAGCCGAAGGCAGACGCTTAACGACTGAGCCACCCAGGCGCCCCTGTCTTCCCATTTAAATCTAAAACTACGTACATTTAAAAATTCTCTACTAGCATTTCTCGGTCCTCTTCCAACTGCCAATTTTATAAAGGAAGGTGATAGACATTTTATTCAAGAAATATTCATAATATCCGTCCTGTTGCAAATTGATGATATAAAAGATCAATCGGTGTCCTTAACATACAATGAACTTAGCATATGGATTTTAGACTTTGAGGCTACCTAATAGAGTGACCTGTTTGTTATCACTCTCTTCTACAACACTGACCAGTAGGACACTGTTTTGTTAGCCACCATTACTATCTGCTCCTCAAGATCCGCCTGTTATAAAAGTGAAGCAGGAACTGGTCTTCTTCCTCAATTTCCAGTGGGTGTGTCACGTAATGCTTCTTAGAAGAACCCTCACGAAGTCCCTGTCCTTTTCTGGTCAAAGGTTTTCCTAAAATAACGTAAGCAGGGTCTTCTGCATCTAGAAGATCTGACAGTATGTGACAGAGAACTGCTGATCAGCTCAGGGCCAGTGTTGGAAATCTCTGTCCAGTCTACCAAGAAGCAAGATTCCTGTGGCGTTTGGGCCTCAGTGCCCAAAATATATAAAGACAGAAGTTCTCCATGACCTACAGCTACTACCAATAAAATGCCTAATCTTTACAATCACCACTTGGATCATTTAAAAAATTATATTAGAAAAGTTATTTTATATTAATATTTGTATGTAGTAGCGAGACGAGTGACTGCAATGATTAACAATAACAACCTGCTGGTGGTTTTCTTTTTGGCCACACATCATGGTTCCCTAATTCCTCAGCATCCACTGACTTTTCTGATCTCCCAGTTTTCAGAGCTGATGGGTTAGAGATGTTTTAGCCAAATTTTGCCCCTGATGGACTCACAGCAGGGAGGGTTCTCTTAGAGATTTCAGAGGAGGACTGCAGGCTACTAATGTTTGTAGCAGTGGGCCTCTGTACAGGAAATAGGGTGAGGTTGATAAATGATCCCAGTTCTATTAATAGCGTCATGGCTGGCTGAGACATTAAGCTACCAAAGCCTTTCCATTTGGGCTCTTTTTACAGGCAGTGTAATAAGAAAGGGGCCACATGTTGGTTCCAAGAGAGGCCATTCAGCTGTGCGAATAAATAGCATTTTCCTGCTCTACCCACTGGGTTTTTACATATCTGTATGAATTTCTGCCACAGTTTGCTCTTTGTAACTGACCATCTCCTGGGAAGCAAGAAGGGAAATACTTCCACGAAGACCAATTTTACAGCATTTCAAACACTTAAAGCCTTTTACCTGCTGTGGCAGCATGCTCCGTTTGACTAAGCTCAAGAGAAAAGAGAACAAGGCTTTTCCTCATCAAGTAAGAATGTCCTGTGCGCTGATGATTCATCTCATCTTCTATCTGAGAAGAACATTGTGCCATCAAAAGCCTGCCTTGGGCTGTTTGAGAACCTCTGCTGAGTCAGCGCTCACTGGGGTAGTGGCCCATCCAAAGCTATTAAATGCAGATCTTAAAAACAGATGTGCTGTTTGAGAGTGTGCAGGTTATTTATTTTCTCGAGTACTGCGTGTTCTCAAAGACTGCCGAAGCAGCCTGCACTTCAAGCTCTTTTGTGAAAATAGAGAACAGAGAAAGGAATTATGACTTCAGTAATTTGAGGAGCCTTGATTATCTACTGAGCTAAGGGTTATGCTGGCCAAACACAGTCCACCCAACCAGGACTGACTGTATCATTTGCAGGGCCCAGAGCAAAATGAAAATGCAGGGCCCCTTTTTCAAAAAAAAAGTATTAAGAAACTCAAGATGGTGACAGCAGAGCATTAAACCAAGTAAGCCAGTCCTGCGCCGAGCTCTCCCTCCTAAGAACCCCAGGAAGTGGATCTTTGAACAGTGACAGTTGAAATGGTATATGGTGGGTTACATTAAAAATGTACTGGGTTGCCTAGCAACTGGCTCAGGGCCTGAATGGCCTGACTTGCAAGTTTAGATACACCATCTTGAAAGCCTAAATTCATGGAAGCCTTCTAGTAGATGGATAATTTTCAAGAAAAAGTAATATAGTGGGAGAGAGAAATGGGGAGGGCAAGAAAGAACACATTTTTTCTACTCTTATAACTTGGTGGCTAGCTTGTCATTTTCCCCGTCCCATCTTTGAAGACTATAATGCTTCATAAGTAAGTAAACATGAAAAGGAAATTCCAGGTTTCTCAGAAACATCAACAGTTTTTTTTTTTCTTAGAGGGTAATGAAAACATGAATTGATCAATAAATATTTTTGAGCATATTGATTTGGCAATTCAAAGGTGCACTATAAGAAAACGGATTCCCACTCACTGAACATTTCATAGGAAGTGCCTACTATGTGGTAGAGTATAACAGAGATGAGTAAGAGACCGTTTTTCTTCTTAAGGAGCTTCAATAAGATTACACAAGAACATTAAGCGAAAATAGAAGAAATAATTAGATAACACAATTAAATTTTTAAAGAGCAGAGTCCATAATCTCCTCTTTCTCTCCTGGGTAATTTTGCAGGGTCCTTGTGCGGCAGAATCAGAACCAGCTCTTTTATTAGGGAGCAAGCAGTTTGGGCTTTCGAGAAATAGCCACATTGCAATTGCTTTTGATGACACCAAAGTTAAAAACCGGTATGTATTATTCGGAGATATTGGAAAAGAACTGATAAATGGAAGAACGGAGTATTTGCACTTATTCAAGTTTTAATCAACTACACTTATTTGATGCAGTAAGCTTTTTACTTCACAGAGTACAACAGAGAATCGAATTCTAGTGGCCTGAGCCTGAGGAGCTCAGTTTTGGAAATCAGCAGGAAAAGTGGATTTGGAAATCACCTGGAAAGTCCACATCTCAGAGAACATTTTACTGTCCTTTATGAAAATTCACCCACGGGATCAGAGGCAACTTAATCTCAGAATAAGAATGCTTTTGTTTTTTAGTTTTATTTTGCATGCTTTCTTTCCACAGCCTCACAATTGAGTTTGAAGTGCGAACAGAAGCTGAATGGGGCCTGCTTTTTTACATGGCTCGGATCAATCACGCGGATTTTGCTACCGTTCAGCTGAGAAATGGATTGCCCTATTTCAGTTATGACTTGGGAAGCGGTGACACCCACACCATGATCCCCACCAAAATCAACGACGGTCAGTGGCATAAGGTAATAATAGTCCATGGGAGGTTGGCAGTGTCCCCTGAGGGGGATGCCGGGTGGCAGCCGCCGGCCTGCCCCTGGTGCAGATACAGTGTTTCCAGTGCAGATCCTGATCCTGCTGCTACTGGAATGTGGCTGAGGCTAAAAATAAAGCCAGCACCACAGACAACTGCCCAGCCTGGGGAAATGTAATCGGACCCGGCTGGGTCACACGCTTCATCATGGTACCACAAGATGCCATTATTACCATACCGCTGTGGTTCCCAAACATCTGGCCACAAACCAGGGCCAGGTAGTTGAAGACATTTTTGCTACTCTCAGTGAGAAATGTGGGACGATGGAGCATGTTAATCTTAAATTAGCTCTATGTCTTCAATGTAAAGGAGTAATATTTGTCCTGAGATTATATTTTCTTCCTTTTAAAAGGTGCCAAAATGGCCTCTCTTTTATGAAGTAGTATTTGACAAACTTAAAAGCTGGGAAACTAAAATGGGCCCTAACACTTGCCCTCCCCTCCCCCATCACACCCCATACTGGTCTGTGAAAACCAAGAGTCTGAGAATCTGCTAGATCATGTTTAAAGGGCTCTAGGGCCACATTTCCGGCGATAGCCATTTGGAACAACTTTTAAAACATGGGCCTTACACCCAGAAACTGGTACTATTATGGGCACAGAAGGCTCATCTGCCACCTTACTGTCCTCTTTGGCATGACTGCAAATAGATAACATACTGCCTGGTTAAAATGAAAACTCAGAATTTGTTTCTGCACCTGTGATCGCCTATTCAGTAAAGCTTCCCTTGGTCGACCAATAAAATGTTTAATTTTGAGAGTTTGATATTATTAGGTGGTGGATTTTATATATTAACATACTGTGACTTGGCATATCCTATAGAGAGTCAGAGAACCTGAAAAAATACAATACAAATGCAAAGTCAATCAATTTGTTATCTTGGAAATAAGAAATGGAATCTTCCTATTTGCCTGGGAGCTTATGAGTAGCAAATACGGGTCTTCATGAAGGAGCTCTCATTAAGGCTTATTCTCCTCTCTGGCTAATAGAATAAACAGGACACTTGAAAAACTGACAAATTGTTGGTCCACAATGCGTCTGGGATTAAGAAAGAAAGTCTAAATACTATAAGCAGCCAAGTTAAGGAGGGATTTATTTTTGAAGATTTTTTTTTAAAACAATTGCTTCCCAAACCAGAATAGATAAGTATAAAATGAGGTCTTAATTATTCTAATCCTGATGTAGATTCATTTTATTTTATTTTTTTTTAAAGATTTATTTATTTATTTATTTGAGAGAGAGAGAGCATGAGAGATAGAAAGCACGAGAGGGAAGAGGGTCAGAGGGAGAAGCAGACTCCCCGCTGAGCAGGAAGCCCGATGTGGGACTCGATCCCAGGACTCCAGGATCATGACCTGAGCCGAAGGCAGTCGCTTAACCAACTGAGCCACCCAGGCGCCCTGTAGATTCATTTTAAACCACCATTGTGCTCCAGGATTAGACTGGGTCACCCATTCCTTTTCCTAAACTCAGACTCAAGTTTTTTATGCCCAAGCCAGTCTTGACACCCCTGATTTCACCCTGCCCCCAAAGAGAATTCACCCCACTGCTGTAATCTCAGCATCAGGGAGCTGTCCGTCTTCCTCCCTCCCTTTGTACCAATCACGGCTGCCGTGGAAACGGCTATGCAGCCTTGATGCACAGCCCTTCCTTCCATTCCACGTGAGAAGTGCCTATTAGGCAGAGGGATGTAGCAGATCTGAAATTGTGCAGGGGAGACCAGGCTTAGCTAAACGAATGCATGTTTAAAACCGGACATGAATTTTGCAGCCCACTTAATTCAGGACAGGGCTCTCAATCGGCAAAGCTCCTGACAACATGCATGCCTCCTGATACATGGGCTCCCTTGGCAACCTATAGCAAAGGGTTTAATCTAAAACTCACCCAGGATGATTTTGTACCCTTTTGGAGATGGTAGTCATGGAAAAGACAGAGTGTGGGATATTCTGTAAAAACTGGTTTAATTTCACTTATGGGTTTCACACATATTAGACACTTAGTAAATTCTTTCATTTTTTCCTGACAAATATCCAAAAAGTTCCTACATCTTACAGTCTGCATATTTGAAATTTATCCATGATTGGCTTTAATGACTCTTCTTCTTTTTATAGATTAAGATTATGCGAATTAAACAAGAAGGAATTATTTATGTAGATGATGCCTCCAACAGAACCATCAGTCCCAAGAAAGCGGATATCCTGGATGTTGTGGGAATGCTGTATGTTGGTGGGCTACCCATCAACTACACTACCCGAAGAATTGGTCCAGTAAGAGTCTAATTTATTTATGTGTGTGTGTGTGTGTGTGTGTGTGTGTGTGTGTGTGTGGCTTAAATAACTGCCTGAGTCATATATGTTGAATTATTAGGTCATATTGGCCCCTGATGACTTTGAGGTGAATAGGAAATCATCTTTTCTGAGAAGTAACAGGTTTTCTAGATAGATTTGACTAGGAGAGGTAATATCACCAAACAGAGTGTCAACCCTGGAGCCAGACTCCCTAGGTTTGAATACGTATTGACTAGCTGTGTGGTCTGGGGCAAGTTACTTAATCTTCCTTTGACAAAGTTCCCTCTTTTGTAAAATAGGATAATAGTACCAAACAAACAAGGTTACTGTAAAGATTAAATGAGGTAATATATTGAAAGTGCTTGGATGAGTACTAAGCATATAGAAAGTACTGGAAAACAAGGAAGATAATGTTGATGGTATTGTTTCAGAACTAGAGATTTCACAAATATTGAGAGAGGCAGTATTTAAACTACATTTGTCCAATACTGTACTACAGTATTTAGAGTACAGTACAGGATTCAAAATTTAAAGTCCTCACAATTTTACAAACTAGTATTCACAAAATAATGTTTTGTCAGACCATGTGTCCTGGTTTCCTTTGGAAAGAAAGCATGATTTTAAGAAATACAGGGGATCAGTGTTTTTAGAGAACATATTAGAAACGTATTACATTTCTATACTCAGAACATGTGATAATGCATAGCTATTCTTCATCAAAGACATCTGTTCATCATAGTTGTAATTCTCAGCATTTGGCTCCCCTTGTGGGTGATCAGTAAGTAGTATGCTCCTTTCATAGCTATTGGATATGCTACCCAGGCCTATCAAAATGAGAGTCTCTGGAGAGTGGCAAGAGTGATTAACATGTGTCCCTAAAATCATATGAAATATAGTGGAGCAAAGTATGATTGAATTATTTCCATGGTCCCTAAACTCTAAATACTTCATGCAAACTTTCAAGTTCAGAGTGTATGTGCATTTTCTTAGGAAAGAGTTCACTGATTTCATTAGATTTTCATAAGGAAGAAGCACTAAGCCAAACTTAATGATCTTTTCAAATAGAATTTGAAATTAGATTATGACAAAATGTATATATATAGTAAGGTTATTAAACTATTAATTGAAACATAAGGGGCTAATTAAAAATTTGTTTAATTGTATAATTGACACACAACGTTACATTAGTTTCAGGTATACATGTAATTTGACAAATTTATACATTATGCTATGACCACTACAAGTAAAGCACCATCTGTCACTATACAAGGCTATTGCAATACCATTGACTCTATTCCCTACGCTGTACCTTTTATCCCCATGACTTATTCATTCCATACCTGGAAGTCTATACTTCCCACTCTTCTTCACCCATTTTGCCCATCACCAGCCATCACCCCTCTGGCAACCATCAATTTGTTCTCTGTAATTATGGGTCTGGTTCTGCTTTTTGTTTGTTCATTCATTCATTTGGGGTTTGTTTGTTTTTTTTTTTTTTTAGATTTTACGTATAAGTGAAATCATATAGTATTTGTCTTCTCTACCTTATTTCATTTACATAATACCCTCTAGGTCCATCCATGTTGTCACAAGTGGCAAGATTTCATTCTTTTTTACAGCTCAGTAATATTCCACTGTCATATAAATACCCATCTTCTTTATCCATTCATCTATAATAGATACTTAGTTTGCTTCCCTGTCTTGGCAGTTGTAAATAATTCTGCAATAAACATAGGGGAACATATATCTTTTCAAATTAGTGTTTTCATTTGCTTTGGGTAAATACCCACTAGTGGAATTACTGGATCATATGGTAGTTCTATTTTTAATTTTTTTGAGGAACCTCCATACTGTTTTCCACAGTGGCTGCATCAACTCACATTCCTGCCAATAGTGTACAAGGGTTCCCTTTTCTCCACATCCTGGCAGAAACTTGTTATTTCTTGTCTTTTTGATTCTAGCCTCTCTGAGAGTATAAGAGGATATCTCATTGTGGTTTTGATTTATATTTCCCTAAGGATTAATGATGTTCAACATCTTTTCATGTATGTGCTTGCCATCTGTATGTCTTCTTTGGAAGAATATCTATTCATATCCTCTGCTCATTTTTAATTGGGTTATTTTTGGTATTGAGTTGTATAAATTCTTGATACATTTTGGATATAAACCCCTTATTGGATATGTCATTTACAAATATCTTCTATTCAGTAGGTTGCCTTGTCATTTTCTGGATGGTTTCCTTTGCTGTGCAAAAGCTTTTTATTTTGGTGTAGTCCCAATTGTTTATTTTTGCTTTTGTTTCCCTTGCTTAAGGAGACATATCTAGAAAAATATTGCAATGGCTGATGTCAGAGAAATTACTGCCTGTGCTTTCTTCTAGGAGTTATATGATTTCCGGTCTCACATTGAGGTCTTTAATCCATTTTGAGTTTATTCATGTATATGGTGTTAAGAAAAGTAGTCCAGTTTCCTTCTTTTACATGTCGCTGTCCAGCTTTCCCAGCACCCTTTGTTAAGAGTCGGTCTTTTCCCCATTGTACATTTTTACCTTGTTTGTTGTAGATTAAATGACCATATAAGTGTGGTATTATTTCTGGGATCTCTATTCTTTCCCATTGCACTACATGTCTATTTTTGTGCCAGTATCATACTGTTTTGATTACTAAACCTTTGTAGTTTCCTTGAAATCTAGAATTGCGGTACCTCCAGCTTTGTTCTTCCTTCTTAAGAATGCTTTGGCTATTTGGAGTCTTTTGTGGTCCCATACAGTAAATTTTAGTATTATTTGTCCTACTTTTGTGAAAAATGCTCTTGGTATTTTTGACAGGGATTTCATTGAATCTGTAGACTGCTTTAACTATATTTATTTAACAATATTAATTTTTCAATCCATGAGCATGGAATATCGTTCCATTTGTTTGTGTCATTTTCAATTTCTTTCATCAATGCATTACAGATTTTAGAGTACAGGTCTTTTACCTCCTCAGTTAAGTTTATTCCTCTGTATTTTATTCTTTTTGGTGTAATTATAAATGGAGTGGTTTTCTAAATTCTCTTTCTGCTACTTTTTTATTAGTATATAGAAATGCAATCAATCTCTAGGTATTAATTTTGTGTCCTGTAATTTTACTGAGTTCATTTCTTCTAATAATTTTTTGGTGGAGTCTTTAAGGTTTTTCTATGTATGGTATGTGATTTGCAAGTAGTTACAGTTTAACAGTTTAGCTCTTTCCTTACCAGTTTGGACACCTTTTATTTCTTGTCTGAGCGCTTGTGGCTAGGATTTTCAGTACTATGTTGAATAAAAGTGTCAAGAGTGGACTTCCTGGTCTTGTTCCTGATCTTAGAGAAAAGCTCAGTTTTTCACCATTGTGTATAATGTTAGCTCTGGGTTTTTCATATATGGCCTTTATTATGTTGAGGTATGTTCCCTCTAAATCCACCTTGTTAAGAGTTTTTATTAACAAATGTTGAATTTTATCAAATGTTTTTTCTGCATCTGTTGAGATTATATGATTTTTATTCTCCATTGTGTTAAATGTAGTGTATGCTGATTTTTGAATTTTGAACCATTCTTGCATCCCCAGAATAAGTCCTACTTGATTGTATTTTTAATATATTGTGGAATGTAGTTTGTTAATATTTTGTTGAGGATTTCTTGCTTTTATGTTCATCAGAGATATTGGCCTGAAGTTCTCCTTTTTTGTGTGGTATCTTTGTCTGGTTTAGGTATCAAGGTAATGCTGGCCTCATAGAATGTTTTTGAAAACTTTCCTTCCTCTTCTACTTTTTAGAATAGTTTGAGGAGAATAGGTATTAACTCTTCTTTAAATGTTTGGTAGAATTCACCTGTGAAGCCACCTGGTCTAAGACTTCGTTGGTAGTTTTTGATTACACAATTTTGTTACTAGCAATTGGTCTCTCCAAATTGTCTATTTCTTCTTAATTCAGTTTTGGAAGATTGTATATTTCTAGGAATTTATCCATTTCCCTAGATTGTCCAATTTGTTGGCATATGATTTTTCATAGTACTCTCTTATAATCCTTTGTATTTCTGTGGTATCAGTTGTTCTCTTACATTTCTGATTTTATTTGAGTCCTCTTTTCTTGATGAGTCCAGCTAAAGGTTTATCAGTTTTGTTTATCTTTTCAAAGAAACAGCTCTTGGTTTCATTGATCTTTTCTATTGTTTTTGTCTCTTTCATTTATTTCTGCTCAGATCTTTATTATTTCCATTCTTCTGTTCACATTTGTTCTTATTTGTCCTTTTTCTAGTTACTTTATATGTAAGTTAGGTCATTTACTTGAGATTTTTCTTGTTTCTTGAGGTAGACCTATAAATTGGTATAAATTTCCCTCTTAGAACTGATTTCGCTGTGTCCATTGTATTTTCATTTTCATTTTTAATTTCTTCAGTGATCCATTGGTTGTTTAGTAGCATGCTGTTTAGCGTCCACATATTTGTATTTTTTCTATTTTTCTTGTGATTGCTTTCCAGTTTTATACCATGTGGCCAGGAAAGATGCAGATGATGTCAGTCTTCTTCAGTCATATTTTGTGGCCTAACATGTGATCTATCCTGGAGAATATTTCATTTGCACTTAAAAAGAATGTGTATTCTGTTGTTTTGAGATGGAATGTTCTATATATATTTGTTATTTCCCTGTTGAATTTCATCCTGGATGATGTATTTTTTGATGTAAGTAGGGTATTAAAGTCTCCTACTATTGTATTGCTGTCAATTTCTCCTTTTATGTCTGTTAATATCTGCTTTATGTACTTAGGTGCTGTGATGTTGAGTGCATAGATATTTACAATTGTTATATCTTTTTGCTGGGTTGATCCCTTATCATTGTGTAACGCCCTTCTTTGTCTCCTGTCTTTGTTTTAAAATCTATTTTGTCTAATATAGATACTGCTGCCCTGGCTTTTTTTCTCATTTGCACTGTATAGCTCTTTCCATCCCTTCACTTTCAGTCTGTAAGTGTCTCTAGGTCTGAAGTGAGTGTCTTGTATAAAGCAGATAGATGGGTCTTGTTTTTTTACCCATTCTACCACTCTATGTCTTTTGATTAAAGCATTTAGATCATTTATATTTAACGTAATTATTGTTAAGTATGTGCTTAATACCATTTTGTTAATGGCTTTCTCATTGTTTTTGTAGTTCTTCTCTGTTCCTTTCTTCTTTTGCTCTCTTTGTGGTTGATGACTCACTCTTTGCAGTGTCATGGCTGGCTTTCTTTCTCTTTTTGTGTATCTATTCAATGTTTGGGGTTTGTGGTTACCATGAAGTTCACATATAATATCTAAGTACATAGCAGTCTATATTGATCACCATTTACATTCAAACACATTCTAAAAGAATGTGTTTACTCCTCCCTCCACATTTTTTTGTCTATGTTGTCATATTTTACATCTTTTTATTCATAGTTTTCTTACATCTAATTATGGCCTTACCCTTTAAAGAAGTCCATTTAACATTTCTTGTAAGGCCACTTCAGTGATGATGAACTCCTTTTCCTTCAATTCTGAATGGTAATCTTGCTGGGTAGAATATTATTGGTTATAAGTTTTATTTTTCTTTCCCCACTTTGTATATATCATGCCACTCCCTTCTGGCCTGCAAAATTCCCACTAAAAAATCAGCAGATAGACTCATGGGGTTTCCCTAGTACATACCTTTGCTCCTCTCTTGCTCCTCTTAAAAATTCTCTGTTTATCTTTAATCTTTGGCATTTTAATTATTGTTTAGAACTATCTGTGCTTCTTGGGCGCCTGGGTGGCTCAGTTGGTTGAGCGACTGCCTTCAGCTCAGGTCATGATCCTGGAGTCCCGGGATTGAGTCCCGCATCGGGCTCCCTGCTCAGTGGGGAGTCTGCTTCTCCCTCTGATCCTCTTCCCTCTTGTGCTCTCTATCTCTCATTCTCTCTCTCTCAAATAAATAAATAAAATCTTAAAAAAAATCTTAGAACTATCTGTGCTTCTTGAACCTGTAAGTCTATTTCCTTTCCTCGGTTAAGGAAGTTTTCTCCCACCCCTAATGTTGTCCAAGAGATCCCTTAACCTATCCTCATTTTTTTAAAAGTTCTTTTTTTCCTTTTGCTGTTCAGCTTGGGTGCTTTCCATTACCATCTTCTAGATTACTGATCTGTTCTTCTGCATCTGTTAATCTACTGTTGTTCCCTCTAGTGTATTTTTCATTTCAGTTATTGTAGTCTTCAAAACTGATTTGGTCCTTTTTATATTTTCTGTCTCTTTGTTGAAGTTTTCACTGAGTTCTTCCACTCTTCTCTCCAGTCCAGTGAGTATCTTTACAATCATTATTTAAAACTCTTTATTAGGCATATTGCTTATTTCTGTTTCATTTAGTTCTGTTTCTGAAGTTTTGTCTTGTTCTTTTATTTGGAACATATTTCTTTGTCTCCCCATTTTGCTTGACTTTCTGTGTTTTGGAACAGCTACTTCTTCTAAATTGTAAGGAGTGGTCTTATGTATGGTCATCCCCTGTGCAGACTGTGCTTGCCTGGTGACTCTTGCTGGCTTGCATGGGCTGAGGGTCACAGGGCACTCTGTGCTGGAACTGAACTGGGCATGTGCTGGAGTGGTCCTGAGGCTTTCTACACAGGGGGTACTCTGGCAGGACAGCTGAAGCTGATGCAGGCTGGAGAGTCCTGGGGTGCTCCCCATGGGGGGTGCCCTCGTGGAACAGCTGGAACTGAGTCAGGCATGGCCTGGAGGTTCCTGGGGCACTCAGTGCAGGGAGCACCCTGATGATGCTCACTCGGGCATCAGTCAGGAGATCTTGGAGTGCTCTGTGCCAGGGTTGCCCTAGCATGCCATCTGGAGCTGAGGTAGTGCAAGCCTGGAGTATTCCAGCAGGCTTTGCTCCTGTGTCCCCTTGGTGTGATGATTGGAGCTAGAGGGAGCACTGACCAGGGGTGTCTCAATATGTACCACCCTGGGGTCACCTGGGTGGGACAGCTGGGGCTCATGCGAGCTAGGGGCCTGGGGCTTCCTGAGGCAATAGGCCAGAAGCTGGACCCTCCTGTGGTCCGTGCTATCAAGGTGGAGGGGGAAGATAAATCATGGCTCTCATCAGCCCATCTGACCCAGAGAGTTCCAGCAGCTCCCCTGCCATTTGGCAGAGTTTGGGGGCTGAACCTTTTATGTACTAGTTGCTCTTTTTTTGTGCCCTAGGTCAGACGAATCTGCTTTCAGTCCTTCAGTACTATCCCTCCCCATTGTTCACAGTGTTGGGGACGGAGGTTCCCTTCATTGCCGTGTCTCTTGCCATTCTCTTTACCTTTTGTTGTGCTATTCAGTCAGCCTTCAACTCTTCTTCAGGAGGAATTGCTTTATAAATAGGTATAGATTTAGTGTGTCCATGGAGGTAAGTTCAGGATCTTCCTACCTCACACCATCTTGGACCAGAACCAGCATAAGGAACTAATTAAAAGTTATGATATTCACATGGAGCACATACTTCTGCCAAACTAGCGGTCCCGTTAGAGACACAGTATGCACTATTTAGAATATCAGAACAATCTAGATACAGGCTAGATACATCCTAGTTGAGAAGCACAACACAGGATTCTCTGCACGCATTGTGTGGAGCTCGGGGTGATAGCACAGATCCAGGTAGTGTGGGGGCTACCTTAAGACAGCTGGCCAATGATTGCAAGCACAGAGCATCCCCACAAATTACTGAATTCCATATAAAGTCAAAGTTCTGGTAAAACCTGATATTTGTTTTTTTCTGACCTGAATACTTAGGTGACCTACAGCATTGATGGCTGCATCAGGAATTTTCAGATGGTGGAGGCCCCTGCTGATCTTGAACAGCCAACCTCCAGCTTCCATGTTGGAACATGTTTTGCTAATGCTCAGAAAGGAACATACTTTGATGGAACAGGTTTTGCCAAAGCAGGTGAGGCACTCGCATTTTCTTCCTGTTGAATATTAAGCAGGTACCAATATTAACTTCTTGCTTGTATGGGAAAATAAAAGTCCCGGATTTATTAAATAAAAATGTATTGAATAAAAAATGTCAAAGATTAATGTATCTGATTCTGAAGCAAACTAATAGAAAAAGTAGAGTAAAAGGCTATTTGGAGAGTTTATTTCATCTCCCCTAGAGATCAATAACAACAAAATAAATTTAATTCCAAAAGAAGGTCCACATATTTATATGTGTAATTTATCTATATTCCAGTTTTCTCTGTCTACCTTTCTGAAGATGAGATAGCATTTTTCTTTCTTCCTCTCTTCAATTCCTTGTCATGATCTCCCACTCCCACTCATATACCCAATACACACATACCGGTGCCCATTTCTCATTGATGGTGATGTTGACTGGTACTTTTCCCTGACTTTCTTTAAGGATTTGCACCTTCTAGTGAACATCTCCAGAGCAGATCTGGATCACTGATAGTAAATGTACAGTTTGGGAAAAAATATGAAATAACTTCTATATAATACAAAAAAGACATTAACATACCTCAGGATAGACTATTCAGTCTTAGGGTTACCATAGATACATGCATTTGTTTTTTAAAAAAGAATAAATGTGCACATAATATATAGAAGTTATCATGGGAAATGGAAGTAAATAAGGTGTTGTTCCTTCCTTCAAAAATATACTATCAATAGGTAAGAATCGGTGTGTTCAGAAATCACAAGAAGGTAAGTAAAATATATTTAAAACTATAAAAGACATACAAGCAAGGTTCTGTGGATATTTAGAAGAAAATTTAATTTTGATTGGGGAAATCTGGAATTGACATTTGAGCTAGGATTTAAAAGGTGAGATGAAAATACTCACATGCAAAAGTTTTCAGAGATGGAGGGGCAGGGCCCTTGAACAGAGTATAGGTGGGAAATTTCACCTACAGCAGAGGCAGAAAACAGATAAAGGATATGTTATACATTAAAACACTGGGGGTAATGATGAGCCCGAAATTCCACATGCAGTGAAAATCCATAGCCTTCCCCAAGATTTCTGCAAATTCACAGATGGCTGGCATTCTCCTGGTCAAATTTGATGGCAAGCTTCAGCTTCTGCAGTTGATATACTGATTTGCCATTCTGCCTGGCCTCTTTTGGTTCTGGATCAAACTGGACCAGAAAATGAGCCACTTCCCCAATTTCTAACAACTGCCATCCCCTCAACAGACGGTGAAATACAATCTATTTAAGACTTTTTAGAAAAGCTTACATCACTGGAAACATACAACTTCAATTAAACCTTCAACATCCTTGTCCTTAAAAACTTGTCAGCCACCTGATCACCGTGGCTTTTACTGGCCACTTCACTCCGTCTTCAGCTGAACTGTTTCGTGTTCCTTTCTTCTCCTTACTTCTCCCTTTCAGGGACAAAAATAAGCACTTTCTGTTTTGTTTTGCAGAACAATTCAGCTTCTTTTTCTCTTAAAATCTGCTCTGAATCCACCTATGCACATCCAAACCCATCAAGGCTCTGAGTAGAACAATAAGTTTTTCACATAACAGACATTACCCTTCACTGGAGACAATGGTGGTTACACATAGCACTTATTTCTTGCCTAATAAATAGAAGACATGCAGAAAATTTCCATGAGTTCTTCCCTAGTACTCCATGCACTCAATGTGGTCTAGCCTGCTCTTAATGAATGGCTTTGCTTCTAAGAGGCATGTCTTTAAATAAATTAATGCATCAAATATAAGAAATTATAGAAAAATCTTACCTGGGTGAACTGGAAAAATCTATGTCCCAGATTCTGTTCCTTCAAAATTGTGCTTGCAATTCCTTTCTTTATTAATAAAATGAGAACCTTTTTTTTCATTTTTTTTAAAGATTTTATTTATTTATTTATTTGACAGAGAGAGACACAGTGAGAGAGGGAACACAAGCAGGGGGAGTGGGAGAGGGAGAAGCAGGCTTCCCGCAGAGCAGGGAGCCCGATGCGGGGCTCGATCCCAGGACCCTGGGACCATGACCTGAGCCGAAGGCAGATGCTTAACAACTGAGCCACCCAGAGAACTTCTGAATCCTTTCAGATCACTGTGACACAGTAATCTTAGAGTGGCCTAGTAAAATCTTACTGAATAATCACTGAAATGCTTGACTTAATCTAACAGTAAGACTTCCAACATAACCATACATTGCTATGAGATTCTTTAAGTTAATCTCAGTGTGGGGTCATCCATTTAATTATTCAACAACTATGTATTAAACCTCCCTGTGTTCCAGATACTTTGGTAGGCACAAGAATAAAATTACCCTCCCAGAACTTACATGCTAGGAGGGAAGGCGACCAAGAAAATAAGCAATAACTATAAAGTGTGTTATATGATACAATGGTGGAAGTATGGGCCATAAAGAGAGTCTGGAACTCACTATAATTGACTAATATCTGAACTGAAATCTAAACCATTGCATTGTACAAATTTGAATTAACAATCCCTAAACTCTAATCCATAATTTAAAAAAAAAATCTTCATTTTACAGTTGGTGGGTTCAAAGTGGGATTGGACCTTCTTGTAGAATTTGAATTCCGCACAACTAGAACCACTGGAGTTCTCCTGGGAATCAGCAGTCAGAAAATGGATGGAATGGGTATTGAAATGATTGATGAAAAGGTGAGTGTCAGTTTTCTAACTATTTCTGATTTCCTTATGATAGTGTTGTTCATATGTAAGAACCTCTATTGTGAAGCCCTACTGTATTCTTTGTTGGGAGAAACTAGATTGTGTGTTTTCAACATACTTACTCTGTAGATCAGTGTAAACTTTAAATGTGCTAATTCTACAGTAAGCCACTTGTGTTGACAAATAATAGGCCAAAGGGTTTTAGATCTCAAACTCTTACTGTGTTGCTCAAAGTACATGAATACATTGTATATAAAACTATAGATTCCAGTGGAAAAAAGAGGAGGGGGCCTGGATTGTCTAAAATCAGTCTTTGCCTCTTCTAACACATTAGGCACTTCTCAGAAGTCAAGGTGGCTAGCTGACCTATCAGCTGCACAATGTTTATTTAAAAGCATCCTGATACCATTTTTTAAAAAGTGCAGATTTATACTAAATTTATATTAGTATAATAATTTTTGTCAATTTGCTCACAATGAATAAGCTAATTCTAAACACCTCTCCAGTCCCTGCCTGCCTATGAACAGCATCCTGCAACAAAATGACCTGTGTATATACTTTGTAGTACAGGCAGCAGGTAAAGAGGCAGGCAAAGCAAGAAGTTACCCAAATTTTCTATCTGGCTCTTAAATAGGAATCATTCTTCATCTCTGGTCGTATTTCCACTCATACACTATTGCGGCCTCCCAAGAAGAACGACCACATAGTAACCTCCAATATGCTTTCTGTTGCCTCCTCTCCCCCTCTTGTCTTCAAACCATCATCAAAGGCAATAAAGCAAAAAGATCCAGGAGTACAGAGGCAAAAAAAAAGGGGAAACAGATAAGCAATAGTTAATGGCTTTGCCAGATTTTTCAAACATGTTCACTACATCTTGTTGGAGCAAGCTTCATTTCATCACCTGCTTATAACCACTGTTACTATCACTTTGTTGGGGTATCAAGTTCCAATACAATGCATGTGTATTTCTCACCAAGTCCTGCTATTACAAACTCCACCCAATATAGTAAAATCTTAATCTATATCACCATTTAGTTTACAAACTTTTCACCTATTGCAGTTTGTCATCTTTTTAAAGCCCCTATGTCTTTTCTTTTACCTTGTCAAATGTGTTGCCAGACTGTTTTTAATGTTTCAATATGTTTCTTTCCTTCATCAGCTTCAAAAGAATTCTGTCATCTCAAATTTCAGGGACTGTGCCATGTTACTGGAAACAGATTTTTCTCATTTAGACATGAACTTCCAATCTAAGTTTTTCATTGTTAAGAATTTAACTGGCCTCCTGGCTCAAAGTCTTTGGCACCGTGACATGAAGCCTGCCCAGGAAAGTAATTGATGTTATTCTCAATCCTGCATATAAAATGGAATGCATGAAGGAAAAAAAGAATACATACAATTAAAACATCAAAAGCTTACATTTAAAAAAAAAACAATAATCCTCTAAAATGAATTTGTAATTCTAATGAATGAATCACTCTAAACATCTTTTAAGAAATTTTATAAGGTTCACTAAGAACTCTCACACTCTATAAAGATCTATGGTAGGATTTGTCCCTGTGCATATGAGGTCTTTTTTTTTTTTTTTGTCAGCTAGCCTCAAATTATGTCACATTTTCTGAAAGCGGAATTATTACGAGTCTCACACGTCTTGCCTTTTGCCCCCACCAATGCCCAGAAGCAAAGAACATACGTTGTGACTCCTGGTTATTAAATTTGTATTTTGATTTCTGTCAACTTTTTTTTTAATTTTTAAAATGCCCAGATATGTTCATTTCTAACTATTCCAGCTGATGACTCCCTTAAAAACATAACAATTTTTGCTATGTGAACCATTGTGATACCTTTCTAATGAAACCATCTGTGACTGTTCAATTTCCTGCTTTCTAGCTTATGTTTCATGTGGACAATGGCGCTGGCCAATTCACTGCTGTCTATGATGCTGGGATCCCAGGGCATTTGTGTGACGGAAAGTGGCATAGAGTCATAGCCAACAAGATCAAACACCGCATTGAGCTAACAGTAGATGGGAATCAGGTGGAAGCCCAGAGCCCAAACCAAGCATCTACATCAGCTGATACAAATGACCCTGTGTTTGTTGGTGGTTTCCCAGGTGAGCCTTATCTACTCCAGCAAGAATTTCTTTGCTGTTACTGGATTTAAAATATTTATATTTCTGTAAATATGTCCAAGAATGTGTGCTTAAATATACTTCTTAGCTTTAGAATCGACTCCCATAAATAACACCTTACCTGAAATTTCCAGGGTGTAAAATGAGCATACTACTTATATAAACCACATGGGACTGAACTTTACATGATAGCCCCCAAAGTTTCATTCTTGGGGAGATGGGGGCTAGAGGAAATGAATTTGGCTTATAAAAGATATGAGGCATTTAACAGCAATGAAGGCCAGAGTTGGTGTTCTTTCTGATTTTTTGAAAATTAATATACCAAAGGAATCATAAAATGTAATGGAACTTATTTCCTCAAGTTCTGGAAATCATTGGGTTAAACAAGCTAATTTCCCCCTTAGGTTATTATAGAGTTTATATTACAAAGAAAGCCCAGCAATAAATCTGCGTTCAAAATCCCCATCCAGCACATTAAGTATAGCATGTAAACCACAGAGTTACCTAAAGTGCCCATAAACAAGAGTGCCCAACTTGATGAGAAATAACCCAACTGCCTCTTTATAAATACTCCAATAACACACTCTTGGAATGGTCTTTCAGCATTTTGGTAAGAGAAACTGTCACTCCCATTTATGTAAAGCTCCCCTGCTTAACAAAACAAGCAAAATATATATTCAGCAGTCGTTAATGGAGGAAAAGATATAGGAGCAATGGGGACCAATTCACAGCTCCTTTCTCCAAAGTTGCTTCTAAGTTTGAAAAGAACCTACTTCTGCTTCAATCAGGATAACCCCCAAAATACTATGAAGGAGGTAACGTATTTCTCCATTCATGGTCTATGAAATGGGATCCTAGTTAGCACCTACAAGGCCTGCTGAAAGAATGGAGTGTCTCCTTAACAACAAAATTTGTGTGAGTTTTCAACCAACTTAACCTTTGTGGATGTATTTTTACAATGTAAAAAACTAATAAAGTCACCATTAAAAGTCCATGTCCTAATTCAGTAAAGTATTTGGTCAATTGAAGTCTTTCATTAAATTCCATAATATATCACAGCTATAAATTTGTTCATTCCAAACCAAATTGCTATCTTAAAATGTATAATTTCTACAGGTCTCCAGATTTCAGAACACATAATTATAGAAATACTATTAAGTTTAACGGTTAGCAAAGCTAAGAACAAAATCACTAACTTTACTTAAAACAGCCTTCCAATTTAATCTGAAGCTAACAGCTGACTTTAAAACATTCTCTTAAAAAATTTTCAGAGAAGATGGCAGAGAGGACTCTAAGCTCACCTTGTCCCACGGACACAAGTAGATAACACACACATCAGTGTGAATAATCCAGAAAATGGACTGAAGACAGGAAGAAAAAACTGCACAACTAAATGCAGAGAAGAGGCCACACTGAAGAGGGTAGGAAGAGTGCAGACGCAGGGAGGAGCTAAAGGACTACACGGGCAGGAGTGAGGGAGCCACGGGTGTGGAGAGAGGAGAGAAATAGACCATCACACTGGGGAGTCTGCATGGGGAAGACAAATCCCTATAACACCTGGCTTTGAAAACCAGAGAGGCCAAATTTTGTCAGTTCTTACCACCACCAGCAGGACTTACTTAAAGCCTGGAATGTTAAAAAATCAGCAGACTTGACTCTGGGAGAGCCAGAAAGATGATAAGAGACTGAGTCCCCACCCATAAAGAGAGAGCACAACGAACAGCCTGTGGAGGAGCAGCAGAGAAGCATCAATTTAAAAAACACCTGGGGTATAGAGGAGGGAGTTATTTACTGTCCTAGAGAGACAGCGATTGCTAGGAGACTCCTCCAGGAACAAAGAAGCCAGCAGGTGCTGTTTCCCTCCCCTGCCTCCCAGCACAAACACAAAGCCACCTGCAGAAACCAGTGCAGTCCCAACATTCATTACCTAACTTGCTTACACCAAGCCCCACATGCTTCGGTCCTGGCTCTGTGGCTTCCCTACCTCCAAAGACCAGCACAAACCTTGCCAACACTGCATCTCCCAACCTCATGCTTTGCAGGGCCTCCATGCCAGCAGCAGCGGGCAGTCACCTCCCACAGAGGGCATGTGCACCTTGTTAAAATTGTGCACCTTGATCATGTGCATTTTGCAGATTGGTCTGGTCGCAGTGGCAGAGGCACATTCCCTCTGGCAGGTGACCAGCTCTGCCTTGTTAAAAGTGCATACCCACCCACTACTTTCAAGAGCAAGAGACTTAGCTGACTTTCCTAACACAGAGAAACAAACACAGAGAGACAAAATAAGGAGACAGAGGAAAATGTCCCAAATGAATGAAAGAACAGGACAAAATTACAGCAAGAGACCTAAGTGAAATATAGATAAAGTAATATGCCTGATAGAGAATTTAAAGTAATGATCATAAAGTACTCACTGGACTTGAGAAAAGAGTGCAGAACATCAATGAGACCCTTAACAAAGATAAAAAAAGAACCAATCAGACATGAAGAACACAATAATTGAAATTAAAAGTACCTTAGATGGAATAAATAGCAACTTAGAGGAAGCAGAAGAACACATCAGCGACTTGGAGGACAGAGTAATGGAAAGTAATCAACCTGAGCAGGTGAGAGAGAAAAAAATTATGCAAAATGAGAATAGACTTAGAGAACTCAGTGACTCCATCAAGCATAAGGACATTCACATTATAGGGATCTCAGAAGAACAGCAAGAAAAGGGGGCAGAACATTTATTTGAAGAAATAATAGCTGAAAACTTTCTAGACCTGGGGAAGGAAACAAATTCTGATCCAGGAGGCACAAAGATCCCCAACAAAATCAACCCAAGGAGTCCACATCAAAACACATAGTGATAAAAAGAGAAATTTAAAAGAAGCATGAGAAAAGAAAATAGTTACATACAAGGGAAATCCCACAAGGCTATCAGCAGATTTTTCAGCAGGAACTTTGCAAGCCAGAAGGTAGTGAATAATATATTCAGAGTGCTAAAAGGAAAGAAATTTGCATCTAAGAATATTCTACCCAGTAAGGCTTTTATTCAGAATAGGAAAGATAAAGAGTTTCCCAGACAAACAAAAGTTAAAGGAGTTCATGACCACAAAACCAGCCCTCCAGGAAATGTCAAATGGGACTGTCAGAGTGGAAAGGAAAGACCTAAGTAAGAGTAAGAAAAGTAGGAAGCACAAAGCAGTAAAAATAAGTATATCTGTAAAAATCGGTCAAGGGACTCACAAAATAAAAGGATGTAAAGTATGACACCATATACCTAAAATGTGGGGAGGAGAGGAATAAAAAATGGGTTTAAACTTAAGTGACCATCAGTTTAATATAGACTGCCATATGCAGAAGTTGTTATATACAATCCTATGTAACTAGATCAAAAACCAGTAATAGATATGCAAAATATAAAAAGAGAGGAATCCAAGTATATCACTAAAGCAAGGGAAGAAGTGAAGAGAGTAGATCTGCAAAAACAACCACAAAACAAATAACAAAATAGCAATAAATACATACCTATCAATAATTATTTTGAGGGCGCCTGGGTGGCTCAGTCGTTAAGCGTCTGCCTTCGGCTCAGGTCATGATCCCAGGGTCCTGGGATCGAGTCCCGCATTGGGCTCCCTGCTCAGCGGGAAGCCTGCTTCTCCCTCTCCCACTCCCCCTGCTTGTGTTCCTGCTCTCGCTGTCTCTCTCTGTCAAATAAATAAAATAATAATAATAATTATTATTTTGAATGTAAATGGACTAAATGCTTCAATCAAAAGATATCAGGTGACAGGATGGATAAAAAAACAAGACCCATTATATGCTGCCTACAAGAAACTCATCTGAGACCTAAAGACACCTGCAGATCAAAAGTGAGGGGATGGAGAAACATTTATCATGCAAATGGATGTGAAAAGAAAGCCAGGGTAGCAATACTTATATCAGACAAAATAGACTTTAAAACAAAGACTGTAACAAGAGACAAAGAAGGATACTATATGATACTAAAGGGACAATTCAACAAGATGATATAACAATGGTAAATATTTATGCACCCAAATATATTAAAAAGTTAATGATAAATGTAAAGGAACTAATTGATAATAATGCAATAACAGTGGGGGACTTTAACACTCCACTTACATCAGTGGACAGGTCATCTAAGTAGAAAATCAACAAAGAGTGGCTTTCAATGACATAGCGGACCAGATGGATTTAACAGATATATTCAGAACATTCCATCCCAGAACAGCAGGATACACATTCTTTTCAATTGCACATGGAATATTCTCTAGAATAGATCATGTATTAGGCCACAAAACAAGTCTCAAAAAATTTAAAAAGATCCTAGTCATACCATACATCTTTTCTGACTAAAATGCACTGATACTAGATATCAACCACAAGAAAAAATCTGGAAAGACCATAAATACATGGAGGTTAAATAACATGCTACTAAACAATGAATGGGTCAAGAAATCAAACAAGAAATCAAAAAATAAATGGAGACAAATGAAAATGAAAACACAATGGTCCAGAATCTTTGGGATGCAGCAAAGGTGGTCCTAAGAAGGAAGTATATAGCAATACAGGCCTATCTCAAGAATCAAGAAAAATCTCAAATAAACGACATAACGTTACACCTAAAGGAACTAGAAAAAGAACAACAAACCCAAAACCAGAAGAAAAGAAATGATAAAGATTATGACAGAAATAAATGAAATAGAAACTTAAAAAAAAAATAGAACAGATCAATGAAACCAGGAGCTGGTTCTTTGAAAAGATCAATAAAATTGATAAACCTCTAGTCAGATTAAAAAAAAAAAAGACTCAAAATCAGAAATGAAAGGAGAAATAACAACTTACACCACAGAGATACCAAGGAATGTAAGAGAATATTATGAAAAACTGCCAACAAATTGGACAACCTAGAGGAAATGGACAAATTCTTAGAAACATATAACCTCCCAAAACTGAGTCAGGAAGAAATAGAAAACTTGAACAGACCAATTACTAAGAATGAAATTGAATCAGTAATCAAAAAATTCCCAACAAACAAAAGTCCAGGACCAGATGGCTTCACAGGTGAATTCTACCAAACATTTAAAGAAGAGTTAATGCCTATTCTCCTCAAACTATTCCAAAAAAAAAAAAAAAAAATAGAAGAGGAAGGAAAACTTCCAGATTCATTCTATGAGGAGTCCAGGATTACCAAAACCAGAATAAGACTCTACCAAAAAAGAGAATTGCAGGCCAATATCTCTGATGAGAAGAGTTGTAAAAATCCTCAACAAAATACTAGGAAACTGAATCCAACAATACATTTTAAAAAATCACCACTATCAAGTAGGGTTTATTCCCGGGATGCAAGGTTGATGTAATAACCACAAGTCAATCACTATAATATATCACATCAACAAGAGAAGGGATAAAAACTGTAGAATCATTTCAATAGGTGCAGAAAAAGCATTTGACAAAGTATAATATCCATTCATGATAAAAAGCCTCAACAAAGTAGGTTTAGAGGGAACATACCTCAACATAATAAAGGCCATATATGAAAAACCCACAGCTAACATCATACTCAATGGTGAAAAACTGAGAGCTTTCCACCAAGGTCAAAAACAAGACAAGTATGTCCACTCTCATCACTTTTATTCAACATGGTACTAGAAGTCCTAGCCATAGCAATCAGGTAAGATAAAAGGAATGAAAGCAATCCAAATTGGTAAAGAAGAAGTAAAATTTCACTATCTGCAGATGACATGATACCTATATATAGAAAACTCTAAACTCCACCAAAAAGCTACTAGAATGGATAAGGAATTCAGTAAGGTCACAATACAAAATCAATGTACAAAATCCGTTGCATTTCTATACACTAATAATGAAGTGGCCAAAAGAGAAAGTGAGAAAACAACCCCATTTATAATTGCACAAAAAAATAAAATACCTAGGAATAAATTTAACCAAGGAGGTGAAAGACCCATTTTCTGAAAACTACAGAACATTAATGAAAGAAATTGAAAACGACACAAACAAATGTAAAGACATTCCATGCTCATGGATTGGGAAAAAAAATATTGTTAAAATGTCCATACTATCCAAAGCAATCTTCAGATTTAATTCAATCCCTATCAAAATGCCAACTGCATTTTTCACAGAACTCAAATAATCCTAAAATTTATATGAAACCACTAAAGATTCCAAATAGCAAAGCATTCTTGAAAAAGAAACACAAAGCTGGAGGTATCAGATTTCAAGTTATAGTACAAAGTTGTAGTAATCAAAACAGTATGCTACTGGTACAAAAATAGACCTACTGATCAATGGAACAGAATAGAAAGCCTAGAAATAAACCCACCTTTTAATGGTCAATTAATATTTAACAAAGGAGGCCAGAATATGTAATGGGGAAAAGACAGTCTCTCTTCAACAAATGGTGTTAGGAAAACTGGGCAGCTACATGCAAAAGAATGAAACTGGACCACTTTCTTACACCATACACACACACACACACACACACACACACACACTCAAAATGGATTAAGGACCTAAATGTAAGACTTGAAACTATAAAATTCTAAAAGACATCACAGTAATTTCTCTGACATCAGCCATAACAACATTTTTCTAGATCTGTCTCTGGAGGCAAGGGAAACAATAGCAAAAATATTGGCACTTCATCAAAATAAAAAGCTCTGCACAGCAAAAGAAACAACCAACAAAACTAAAAGACAACCTACTGAATGGGAGAAGGTATTTACAAATGGCATATCTAAAATATAAAGAACTGATAGAACTCAACACCCAAAAACCAAATAATCCAATAAAAAATGGGCTGAAGACATGAACACACATTTCTTCAAAGAAGACATCCAGATGGCCAACAGACACATGAAAAGATGCTCAATATCACTCCTCACTGGGGAAATGCAAATCAAAACCACAATGAGATATTACCTCACACTGTCAGAATGGCTAAAATCTAAAAACACAAGAAACAGCAAGTGTTGGTGAAGATGTGGAGTAAAAGGGACCCTTGTGCACTGTTGGTAGGACTGCAAACTGGTGTGACTGCTGTGAAAGACAGTATGGATGTTCTTCAAAAAATTAAAAATAGAACTACCCAACCATCCATTAATCACACTACTGGTATATACCCAAAGGATATGAAAACACTAATTTGAAGAGATATATGCACCCCTTTGTTTATTGCAGCATTATTTACAGTAGCCAAACTATGGAAGCAGCCCAAGTGTCCATTGATAGATGAATGGATTAAGATGGTGTGTGTGTGTATACACACACATATACACCCAATGGAATATTACTCGGCCATTAAAAAAGAATGAAATCCTGCCATTTGCAGGAACATGGATAGATCTAGATAGTATAATGCTAAATGCAATAAGCCAGTCAGAGAATAACAAACATATGATTCCACTCAAATATGAAATTTAAGAAACAAAACAAATGCACAAAGGAGGGAAAAGACAAATCAAAAAACAAAAATGCAGATTCTTAACTATAAAGAACAAACAGATGGTTATTAGAGAGGAGGTGGGTGGGGGCATGGGTGAAAGAGATGAACAGGGTTAAGAGTACACTTACTTGATGAGCACTGAGTTATATATGGGATTCTTGAATCACTAGGTTGTACACCTGAAAATAACATAACACTGTATGTTTACACTAGAATTACAATTTTAAAAATACCTTTAACATAGAAGCTGCCTTTTAAAACTGAGCCCTTTTTGCTTTGTTTTTCAGATGGCCTCAACCAGTTTGGTCTGACAACCAACATTAGGTTTCGAGGTTGCATCCGATCTCTGAGGCTCACCAAAGGCACAGGCAAGCCACTGGAGGTCAATTTTGCCAAGGCCCTGGAGCTATGGGGTGTTCAACCTGTATCATGCCCAGTCAACTAATACAAATCAGTTTAACTCCAAGAAAGGTCCTTCAAGTAGATCAAGTAAAACAAATATATCTTACCTATATATGTTATTAAAACTAATTTGTGCATGTATATTGAATTCTTTCTGTACTCAGATGGTGCTAATTCAGATCCCAGACTGAATTTAAATTTAAGTTTTCTCAAGTCCATAAATATTAAACCAATTATTTCATTCTAAATAATTGCTTGTTTTGTGTGATTTTAAAGATGAAAGACAACTGACATAAATTAATGAATTTGCAACATGCCTTGGAGTCATCTCAAGAAGAGTTTAAATGTTATTTGTGAAGGTAACATTTTTGTTTTTACTAACTCCTATTAATACTTTTATCATCCTTTTCCATGTTATGTCAGCCTTGGCTTTCTGTTCAGGCCACTGAAAACAACAGTGGATTTGGCATGTTTGGGAGGAAATCAGCTCCTTTACTCTCTATGCTTGAGAAGGCATTAGCAAATCATTTCCCTGATGCAAGTTCATTATTAGGGAGTTTAACTAGCCATATGAGTGAATACTTTTTCATGCTGAGCATATATTTAGAGAGTATAGATCAGATTCAGGCCAGAGAGCTTAATTACTTGATTTTCTTGTTTGATAATGATTTATAGGCTTTGGGGAGACACCAGAACCAAGTTCCAGAATGACAATTAAGCACACATTTGATACTACAGTGTTGACACTCTGGGCTCCTTCAGTTTGCAGTGAATATCACAATATACATAATCACAGAGGAATAATGCTGAAATACATTTTTACTTTCCAGGAAACAATAAACCAAAAATGTAATAGAAGTACATCGCTGAGTCTTTTTGGGTTGTAATTTGACCTAACAAATTCATTTCCTTAAAAATGTCTTTGTTTGGTTCTTCTTTTATCCACTATTTAAATCATCTTCAAAAAGGTCTGTGAGAAGACTAGTCTAGATTTTATTCATCAACTTAAGAAGGAAGTGTTTCATTTGCCATCTTCAGTAGAAATAGTTGTAGTCTAATAATGCCAAACATTTAAAAGAACAGATCACATGGTAGTTTTAGCAAAAGAAGAATCCTTTCTGACAGTGCTAGCTGCAAGGGGGGGAGGAAGGTGTTGTTTCTAACAAAGGAGATGGCTAACACACCCTTAGCATTTCGTCATTGGCCAGTTGCTTGTTACCATTTGCCTTCACAGTTCCATTCTAGAGCAAGTGATTCTCAACAATCGTTCCATTTTGGAATTACCTGGGAAGCTTGATTTGGTCTAGGATGTAGCCTGGGCATGAGGATTTTTTAAAAATCTTCCCAGGCAATACTAAAGTGCCATCAGGAATGAAAACCACTATTTTAAAGAGGAAAATTATCCACTATGCCACCAGTTGTAGAGTCATCTGAGAATCTATTGTTGACTTTGTCTTGGCCACTTCTTCACACACAAAAATAATATTGAATCAAGGCCACTTCTTCACACACAAAAATAATATTGAATCAAGTTAATGCCTTTTGAGCCATCTTTAAGCAATAAAACTCTGAAAACCAATGTGTTTTTGAAAGTGAGGATGTTACTTCTGCACTGAACACTGGCAAGATTTGGTCTTATCTGGAAAATAAGTGGATAAACAGAAATAAAGATGCTAAGTTCCTAAATTAAAAGTTAATGCCTTTCTTTCCTGGAGCCTGAACAGAAAGAAATATAACAAATTTGAAAGTAAAGGTACCTAATTAACACTCCTTTCAGAGTCAAGCCCTGTTGAAGTCAATTTGATGCAACTTTATCTGTTTTTCAATGTCTTTTATTCTCTGTTGAATCGAGAGAGATACAAATCTATGTACTGTACTCATTTGCTTGACCGAGATTAGTACATACTTCAGACCCAGTGGGTACCTGAAGGGAAGGAATGCTTCAGGCTGGGCCTGGAATTCTCTTATTTTGGAATCTTGATAATGCAGGTTAGTGTTCGGCATTTGTGCCGGATACCTGAGCGAGCATGAAATTTGTGCCCATTGTCAAAGGGAGAGTGTTATGATGTGAACTGTGCTCCCCTTTCTCCAAACTCATTTGTTGAAGTTCTAACCCGCAGTACCTGAAAATGTGACTGTATTTGCAGGTGGGGCTTTAAAGGGTAATTAAGGTAAATGAAGTCACATGGGTGGGCCCTAATCCAGCATGACAGACGTCCTTATAAGAACAGACATAGGGAAAAGACCGTGTGAAGACAGAGAGAAGATGGCCATCTAAGCCCAGAAGAGATGCCTCTAGAAGAAACCAACCCTGCCAACATCTTGAACTCAGATATCTAGCCTCCAGAATTGTGAGAAAATAAATTTCCATTGTTGAAACTACCCATTTTGTGGTACTTTGTTATGGCAATCCCAGCAAACTAATGCAGAGCTTTTCTGCCTAAATACATACATACATACACATATACATACATACATACAGCATCGGCATATTTCAGCTTCCTTCAGAATGACATGTACATCAGAGAAACCAGTTATTTTGAACAGTGACCATTATCACTTACGTAAATGAATAGAAAAAAAATTGAGACTAAAAAAAAATAAAATATTCATAACATACTTAAATAGAGGAAGTTGTTTTTATATGTGCCTGGGGATATTAGGAATAGCTACATAGTAATTATAAATCAAAGAAATAATGTTCTTCTCAATAACACCACTTACTGAACTTTTCAGCAGAATGGATTCGCTGGAGAGCTTTTCTGGTTTGTATATTCAAGTTTAGAGAACTACTAATTTACCCTTGGACAAATCAAAGCCCTGTTTTATTCGGGTAAGTTGTCTCTCTGGAGCTCAGCCCACTGTAGGGACATAGCTAATAATATAAAAGGTGGTAGCAGTGGAGGTGGTGAGAAGTAATTAGATTCTGATATATTTTGAAGACGGATTAGTGTTCCCTGCAGGATTGCCTATGGTGCATGAGAAAATAAGGTACTGATAACTTCTGATCATCTGAAAGAACAGAGTGGCCATTATTCAGAGATGGGGGTTGTAGTTGAAGTGGGCTTTTTACAGAAAGGAAAACCAGGTGATTGGTTTTAGATATATTATTTTTAAACTATCCACTAGGTATCTAAGGACACTCTACCATAAGCAGTTAGATAATGAGTCGAGTTCAGAAAATAGGTCTGAGCTGTAGATATAAATGATGATGAATACTGATGTTATTTATAGCCACACGACTGAAGGAGATCACCAAGGGAGTGAGTGTAGGTAGAGGACTATGGACACACTGAAATTAAGAGTATTAAGAGTATGGGTATCATAAAAATTACTCAGAACTTAAAAATAGGAAAATGAAAGTACTGTTCTTTCAGTGCAGTACTGGGCTTGACTTTCTATTGACTGGACTGTTTTACAACTCTGTAGGGTCAAAGGTATCTTGTAGGTTTTTGTCTCATAGAAATGTAGTCTGGTTGAAGGTAACAATTTTTTTCTGAGTAATCTTATCCTAATATCCCTTTATGTATATGCATGTATATAGATTTTCAAATGCTCTTTAGGCCAGTTCATTGTCTTATTTCTTCCCTCATTAATTGAGTTAAATAAAATCTTTGACGTGTTCACATTATGTTTGCCTGAAAGTCATAAATATTTAACCTTTTGAAAACTGTACTTTAGCAAGGCAGAAGGGGAGGAGAAGGAACCAGCTGAATCTGTCCAGCTTAAATCAAAACCAAAAATCAAATCACACAATTTGTTCATTTATGAGTGAATTTTCTCAATTTTCCCTAACCCTCTGTTTTCATTGCTACATTTCTTGTGAAGTAAATATTACTTTAGAAACCTAAAATAATGTTAAGAGAAAAGAAAAGCTTAAGAATTACAGGGGTACCTGCGTGGCTCGGTGAAGCATCTGCCTTCGGCCCAGATCCCATGGTTCAGGGATCGAGCCCCACATCGGCTCCATGCTGAGCAGGGAGCCTGCTTCTGCTTCTCCCTCTGCTGCTCCCCTTGCTTGTGCTGTCTGGTTCTATCTCTGTGTCAAATAAATAAGTAAAATCTTAAAAAAAAAACGGGTTTTTATCTCACTTTTTATTGATAATTTCTCTCTCCTGCTAGTTCAGCCTCTACTTTTACACACACACACACACACACACACACACACACACATCCAGTCTTAGCTATTTAATAATGCTGGAGCCAGGAACAGATTCTCTGTGGCCAGATACACTATTGACTTTAAAATTCCTTTACAGAAGTGTGGCCTAAACTTTTGACACTCAAACTCTTGTATATAACACCTAATCATAAAATCATGCATAGAATCTTTTAATCATTTTGTTACTTTTGAATTACATAGGATAAATCAAACACTTAAATTGATCAGTACATTAAAATCATTTTATATAATTTATTATATATTTTCTAATAAAGCCCATTATCTTACCTATAATAGAAATCAAATTGACTGTTAAAAATAACAAAGGAAATATCTGAATAGATGACCAAATTTGGAGAGTATGTTTTGGATTAGCTGACTTAAAATGAAAGCTATGCACCAACCACAGAATTCCTCAGAGGTACCCTAATGGGCACTTCAGGGAAATGGGCAATCAACCCTAAAACTGAAATACCAGGGCCTGGGTGGCTCAGTTGGTTGAATGCCTGACTCTAGATTTCAGCTCAGGTCATGATCTCAGGGTCCTGGGATGGAGCCCAGTGTTGGGTTCCTTGCTCAGCGGGGCATCTGCTTGAAATTCTCTCCCTCTCCCTCTGCCCCTCCCCCCATCCACATGCTCTCACTCTCTTTCTCTCAGATAAATAAATCTTTTTTTTTGTTTTATTTATTTATTTGATAGAGAGCGAGAGCACAAGCAGGGGGAGCAGGAGAGGGAGAAGCAGAATCTGTGCTGAGCAGGGAGCCTGATGTGAGGCTCAATCCCAGGACCCTGTGATCATGACCTGAGCCGAAAGCAGTTGCTTAACCAACTGAACCACCCAGGCGCCCCTCAAATAAATAAATCTTTTTTAAAAAACTGAAATATCAACATTAAAGACTGCTGACTGCAGATGGAGAAAGATATGCCATACATACTAAGACATGATGAACAGGAAAAACACGTAATATCAAGTATGAGCCCCAAATCAAAACTCACCGAACAGATGCTACAAATTTTAGGTGACGACATTTCACTGAGATGTATTTTGCATTGGAAACTCTACAGAGTATGTTCCAGGGTTAAAACTGTCAGGATTTATTTAATTAAATAAATGATTTGTGAGTCTTCTAAGAGGTATCGAATAAAGCCAGCCAACCTCTTTCTATATAAACAGATGGAGATGGAAGAAGAGAGGGAGAGAAAAAGACTGAGACTTTTCTCATTTTAAAGGCAAGGCCCCTTTAAATATATAGTAAAAGTAAATTTATTGATAAATTCCTTTTGTTTGACCTTAATATACAGAATTCATATATTTTGATTAAAATTTTAGCAGTGTGTTGTGGCATCAAAAATGGATCAAAACTATATAATCATGTTTGCAATTTTTATATTTTTGTACTATAAAACATCAATTGGTTCATTTTAACATTTTTCATTTTTTTATTTCTCAATTACAAAAAAGAAGAATTTTCCAGTACTACATGCAGGCACTTCTCAAAAATGACATATTGTTACTGCGAATAATTTAGTGCCAGTAAATAAAAATTAATTGGATATAATGTAACAATTTATTTTCTCTCATAAATTGGCTTCTAATAGAGATAATTATGCATCATATATAATTTTTTATCAGATGACATAAATTAGGAATCTGATGAGGAAAATTTGCAGAAATTAACTTCATTATAGTCACAA